GTCTGTGCTCTCTTGATTCCATAATGCAGGTCCAGCACATTATGTTGCTATGAATATTTGGCATAGAGCTCACTTTCAGTTTTGATGAGTCCGCTGAGTGGGCATCTCTCAATATATTTGTCGTCGCATAAGCGCTTCTCAACGACAACAAAAACACATAAGCAATTGAAGGAACTGCGAATCAGAGGGGATGGGAACAGAGTCAACGGCCTGTTGTAGAAAGATCAAGGAAGATCGGTTTCCGATTTGCGGTTGGTTTTGGGTGGGGTATTTTGGATTTTGAAGTGGGTCGTAGTGTGCTGGAGAAGGAGAGGGATCGTTAGGTGCTTTCACAAGTTCACCGAAAAGTGCATGAAATGGGTGAAAATAGAGCACTTGTTCATTCAATAGTAACAGCATTAACACCACTCCCCAACTCACCGCAGGCGCTGCAGTTTTGGAGAGTACTTTGGGATACATTCGTGTGTGTCATCACCTGATTTCAAAATCAAAAAGCCACATAAACAACCATAGCGACGAGCGTGACGGGAGGGGGTGGAAGGTGTCGACTGGGGAAGCTTCTCCAGGCTGCATCGAACGGTTAGAGTAAGATCGTGGCGTGACTTCTATGTGAAGTGGGGGAAGAGTCGTGAGAAATTTCGAAAAAAAAGCGGGACGGTTGAGTTTTGGTGAGGAGGGGGCGTGATTGAACGAATGAAAGCGGATAAGGGAATCACAGTGTGCTATGTAAACTAAATTATTCTATTATTCGATTATTCATGCTGTATTTATTTCATTTCGTGGTCCCTATTTCATGGGAATTCGGTGAATTATCATTTTTTTTCAGGCTCTCTTCAAATTCAACCAGCCGAAATATGAATGCTATAAACTGGAAATTTCTCATCTCAAGGTAAACAGAATGTCCTGCGTTCAGGCGGCGAATATTGCCACAATTTGATGATTACAGCTGTATTTACATGCGATGCCTGTTGTGTCTCTGGATTACTATCTACCTCAGTTAATGATGGGAATCAATGATGTGAGTTATACTTATCAAAACACGATAACATTTGCACTTCATGAAAAATGTCACCTTAAAGGCAAGATTCAGGGACAGGAAGGTGGACCACCAGTGGAGAAAAAAGGAAAAAAATTGTGAAATACACAGGAAATACGAGCCTTTTGCTCTACGCTGCGGAGAAGTTCAAAAGGCCGGCAGGGAGATGAGAGATAATGTGAGCGCGGAGAGCGTAGAGAAGTCCGAGTAGAGAGAGCATAGCAGATCAAGTTGCGACGCAGACAAGATATCGAGCGGTGGGCGGAGCGTGTCGCAACAGGTGGAGCGTGTCAAAGTTCTTAGCGCCTAGCGTCTAGTAACGCTTTTCGAAGTAGGGAAGTGAAGCGACCTCTGCACTTGCTACCCACGCCTTCTTCGCGTGAACGCTCAAAAGGCTCACTACCCATCTCGGGTCTGAGCCCGAACTTTGCCTTCAAGTGATTTATTAAAATCACGAACTTTGTCGGAAGTGGAAGTGGAGTGTAGCAACAAGTGGCGCGCTCACCACGCGAGCGGTCCGGGATCAAATCCTGGGTCGTGAGTCGCCCGGGCCAACCAAGCCTTCCATCCCTCCGGGGTCGGTTAATTGGTACCAGACTTGTCTGGGAGGAAAAAAACACTGACTTGAACATCGGCTGGCCCCCGCAAGTCATTGTATAGGCCACATCGCATTCAAACGCCACTACGAATGTACAAATGGAAGTAGAATGCGTGCCGCATCCCAAAAGGGATTGATCAACGGCAAATGCTTTATCTTTTTATCCTTTACAACTTTGTGGCTCTCACGATCAGGAAGTCGTGCTCGTCGAAACAATACCATCTACATTTTCCTTATTTAGCCTATTAAT